AATGAAAAAATTAGATGTATTTTACTAAACAGAATATTCTCGTAACATATTTGAGAAATAAGAAACGAAAGTTGAACATATATATATATTTAATGTTACGCTTAATATACAAATTATAACTTTACGTGTGAATTTAAATTCGAATAAATGAAAGTATTATTTTAATAATTCTTCGCAATTTTCCAAATATTGTTTAAACAACTGATAGTTTCTGATACGTTCTTAATCCTTGCAGTTTGGATTGATCCATACGAATAATCCTGTAATACAAGAAAGGAAATTATATTATTTTCTATTATTTGTGCTTACAAAATCTCATAAAATAGTTTGAATTCTTAATACTAATGTTATTAAAATAATATAAAAAGTAGTACTTGTATTGAAAATACATTAGTAATTAAGAGATCCATGTGTTTAGGAGTTCATAGAGTTCATTCCGCTAACACCATAAGAAACTAAAGTCAAATTTACCTTGTCCAAATATACAAAACTGCCAAAAGTCTTTCTTTTATTGGAACAGATTTACTAAAAAAACAATTGTTATTAAATATTTGTAAATACAGATATTTTGAAGGCTTCATAATTGGTCCTTTCACCACGGGACACGCATTGTGACGAATTACCAAGACTCCAAACTTGTTTGTTTTCTAGTGCATATTTTTTGTTTGTATACTAAAGAATATTTGCTTTAGTGAATCCCATTCCTGTTTATGTTGTTAGGTAAGTAGTACTTATGTTTATGATCACTGTTAATCGTTTTTTTTTTATATTCATTCGCTTAAAAATATTTGCTCGGATAGGTGGATTGTTTATCCTTATCAAATGTTATGTTGAATTAATTATGTGTAGCTTATTCGAATAAAATAATATTAAATTTTAAGTTAACTATAAAAGTTTTTACATTAAAAAAATCCAGCAATAAGCTGCGTAAATTTATGGCAAAAAGTTAAAATTGTGTGTGGTGACATCTGTTAAAAAGTTTTTTTAAAATAAAATTTCCTATGTTATTAATGATTATAAAATGGAAAAAAAAACTTAATTTTGAGGGTAGTGATGAGTGGTATAAAAAAATTGTAAATGCTAATAACGAGTAAAATCTTTATCAAGTCCGACCTCACTGGAGATACGACTGGAGAATCCTTTCTGTCTTCCCACTCCCTCGACTTTTAACCATAAAAATTTAATATCATCAATACCCCTAATACACAAACTTACTTGCAAAATTTCAGAAATTTTCGACAAAAGGCACAAGAGTTATTAAGCTTCAAATCGTGCCCTCACACACGTTAACATATGTACAAATAGAAAAAAAACTAGTTGTTTTTGCATTTCTCGACGTTTTAAAGCTTCCTCCGAGTCCAAAAATGTAAAAATCATGAGGAGGAATCATTTTTTGACCGATAGCCATCCTTTGTTATATATAAAAGGCGGAAAAATAAAATTCGATTAGAGGAAAGAATTTTTTGACAGATCACTAAAAGTTTTATTTTCAATTCCGTGGCCATCGTCGTTAGAAATTTATCGAATCCAAAAGTGTATTAATAATTTCAATTTGTTTACTCGAATTTCGCATAAACTCAAGACAAATCAAGACAAATTTTAATAATGGACTGTGATATAAAATAAACATCGTGTCCTTTCGAACTCGTTCGTAATATAAATGATTTATCAGCGATGCTATAATGTATTTAAAGCCTTCATTTGTTAATTAAAAAAAATATATATACTCTCATATATCATTCCATACGTTATGATGACATTTAGAAAATATACAATTTATAAAATGTAAATATTGTTTGTTATAAGATGCTTGGAACATGTGAAATGTAACACAAATCTAAATGTATCCAAAGTGTACTTGCAACAGACAAATGTTTACATTAAGACTACGAATTGACAAAGAGCGCTTATGTAATACAGTCTACAAACCATGTGAAATGTAAAAGTGGTATGTTTACATTATTTTTTCTTTCTTTCTTTTTTTATATCAGGCTTCAAAATGTAGGAGTTGTTGAATAGCTTCGGATTCTGAGATTTTGTGGGAGTTTGATGAATGGCATTGTGACCAATCAACCGCATTCTTTATCATTTTATAGAAATAATATCGCTAAATTCCGGATAGAATATAAAATAAATTCGATATTTTATGACAATTTTCCTGGTTTATTACAAACTTTGTGATATATAAATAGGGATAAAATTAGATTATTGCTATTGTCTACCCCTTTATATTTAGGTCTATTAAACTGGTCTATTTTTATAATTTAATACAATAATATACGATTGTGACATTATCATTTGGTCAGATTGAGGTCTTGGCAGTTTGCATGCACAGTTTTTAGCCATACAAATGTTTTTAACTGGTGTTGTATTTAGGTGTGTGTTTTTTTGTGGTTAGAAGATAATTCATCATGGGTTCCTTTCGAAAAGAGTTAGAAAAATATTATGTCGGAAGCGGTTTTCACGGTTGAGTATGGCTACAAAATTGGTCAGAAACACCGACCTAATAGGCAATTTGGGGCGACGGTATAGCGAAAATAATGCGGGGTAACTCGGGAGTGACGATTAAATCAATTTGCCAGCGAAACTCGGACGGTTGCCTTGGTAACTCTTCGTGCCAACATTTACATCCGAGTCGAACACGGAACGTATCGCCGAACTAATCTCATTGATTAATTGACTGACATGTCCCGTCATTAGAACCGGCCCGGGGAAGAGGCGAAAGCGCGTGCGGTTTAAAACTCCTCCTTTGGCCGTCATTAGGCATCCCCCCGCGATCGATGGTACGAGAATATTCTTAAATTCTGGAACGATGCCAGGTGCACGCCTCGACCGAAAAAGAAAGAGGCCGCCGGTGACGTCAGACAACAAACTCCGGTATCTTTAGTCGTTCACGCGTCATTTACAAAGTGACGAGTCGGGTTTCGGTCCGTTTAACCGGTACGAGAGAGAGATTTTCTCTCTCTCGCCTCATTTCCGGCATTTGCCCGGAACCAAACCCGTACCACTTTAATAGCCGCTAATGCGTGGGATGGAGAGACGAGCGACACCCATGCAAAACGCCGAGAACCGAAGGAATTCATATTACCACGCCACCGAGGCATTAGAGGAAATTAATTTCGGTGCCGTCACTCACTTCATACGACACGCGGACAGCTCGGATATTAATACTTTACAGTTAGACAGTCCACCGAGAAACAAAGACGTGGCGAGAGAAAACAACTCTCGCAAACTTGCGCCGCTCCTCCGACGTTTTCGATTCTGTTCGGTTTTAATGCCCATTTTTCCAAAGCGCAAAACATTTCTTCCGTTTATTGTGTGGGGATTAGGAAAGGAATTAAATTCCGCGCCGCAATAAGCGAGACTGAATGGCATCCGCGGATTAGGGAGAGATGATAAGCTTTATCCGCGTACGCGTAAGACCCGCGAACAATGGAACAGTTGCCACGTTTCAATGCAGTTACTAGACGATCTCTCCATTGACGGTGGCTTTTGTAGAGAGAGAGAGAGATGGAAGTATGAATGCCGATCCTAGACAATGTCCGGCCGACGTCGCATAATTAGTTGGCCGGTTTGTATTTCCTTCCGGCACGAGAGAAACCCTTTTGCAGTTCTTAATGAGCGGGATAAAGCCTCCTCCTCATCCTCCTGTAGATCAACTTTGCCTGCGGTGCCAAAGCGAGATGCCGGTAAAAGCTATTTATCCACCGGAGGGATAATTACAATGTTAGTTGTCACTAACACATTCCGGTAGTAAATTTATAACGACGACTTTTGCCGTAATTAAACACTCTAATATAAGTTCTAATTTGAAACGCTGGTCTTATACGATTAGCCTTCTCTCTAATTTTCCACTCATTTCCAGATACTTTAAGATCTCTTTGTCAAATCCTTTCCTAATTGCCCCCGTTTCTCTTTAAATGCCGTCACTTTTGACGTCTCTCCAACTTTATAACGAATTAGCAATTTTTCTTTCTTCCTCTTCTTCTACAGAGAAGAATTATTCCGTCTTAGACAGGTTAATTCATTTTCGGGCGTTTATCTTCCTTCCTCCTCAGTAAACTGTGGCACGTGGCAAATCTGAAGAATAACGAAAGTTAATTCCTTCCTTTGCAGCTAATAATCCATTTCATCGATTATTATTTAATGGACGAGTAGGAAGGAGGATTAGTCGCATTATCTACCATCGATGGGGTATTTAACTCTATTAACCGAAAGTTTTCTTGCCTGCTAAATGTAATTAGAGAAAAACATGTTAATAATTAGTTTCTCCGCGATCGACGAGTGAAAATAGTAATTAAATTCGGGTTTTCTCTTTAGATCTTTGCCGAAAATGAAAGATGAATAATTTTTTCTTCAGCTTTAAATATCCTTAATGAAGTAGAAAGTGGCAAATTTGAAGTTCAGTAAGAACAATTCGCAGTTTTCTAACTTGTTGGAAACTTGAAAAATCGATTTCTCCCCCTCCCAACCATCGTGTGGGATCTGTAACGGCATCATATTTTATTAAAGAACAGTTGGGTAGTTTACGAGTGTCGGATAAGGAAAACTGGAATCGTATAAGTCCACTATAGCAATACGTTAGGCGAGAGTACAGGTCGGTAAAGAATGTGTATATGGGGAGGAACAACTTATCCAAAAAAGCTATTTTGTTTTGGTGTGGCACCGACCAGTGGCATTAGGAATATTTCTCGCCGCTCTGTTATGAATTGCACTTCTTTTTTTTTTTTATCGCTCTCCGCTTTTGTCTGGAGTGTTCTTTTGTAGAACTGGATTAACTTGGCTGCGGGCGATAATCGATCAACGTATATCGACGCGTTATAGCTACAATGTGGGATATCTTACGACTTTTTTTGCTATACCCCGACGATCCTATTAAATTAATAAAAAAAGAACTGTAGTTTTTTTTTATATCGTATACATTTATATATATATACCGACTGATATAGCCTATAAAATTACTTACGCGACGACTGATTTATTTAATACTTTTCTTCCAGAATTCGCATAATGTTCAGGAATCGAAAGACCGACCTCCAGACAGTTCTTCGGCCGCCAGGTAAATATTTATATTTTTACTACAGTTAAAATAACGTAATGTATTTAACTTACTTTTACTCGTGGCAAAACAAATCGTTCGTTTTGTATTCCCGTTTCGTGTATGGTAACACTTTACGACACCGTACTGTACTTCGCAGTGGAGAACTTTTCGAACTTTGTTTTGGAAAACAAAAAGACGAAAAAAACAATTTCTATCTGACTACAGTAAGAGATATCATCGATTGGATACAATTTTGGCTGTTTTGTAATACAAGTAGGAGTTGGAAGATAGACTATCACCGGAAGACAATCTGCAGACATTTCTGTCAACAAGAATACAAAGAAAATCACTTCGTAACTTCAACAATTCTTTCACCTTACAAGGACGGAAGTTTTGTTACTTTTTTATTTTTATTTTTTCTTGCTAACATCTAAACAAGAAAGTACAAGAATCGTTGTCGATCGCTCTCTTTCTATCCCGCAACAATAAGAGTTTTTTAACCAATCCTTCGTCTTCATTTATCAATCTGAAAATTCCGCTATCCGTGTGAAATTTTTTTAGCATCCTCGCTTCGTTTTTTTTCTTTTTTTTTCAATTTGTCGTTCGATTCGATTGAGTCTTTCTTTTTTGAATATTTTTTCCTTAAAAAGAAATTTTGCAACTTTCCAGAAAAAAATTCCATAAAAAGAAATTTTGAAAGTTAATTCATTTGTAGTTTTATAGCGAAGAAGATGACCGTCCCTTTGACCGTTTTATAGGAATGAATGAACAACTTTCGTATCACTTGGGACGCATTAAAAACATTCACGACTTGTACGACTTCTGTATCGTCGGATACTGTTATGACTGGAGAACATGTAAAGATCGGATCTGGCCAGATAATACGAGAATGCTAAGAAGAAATCGGGGTTAATAAAAAGGTTTATCGCAGTTGGCTGCAGGTGGTATTCCTTCTCGCTCGTTTTTACACCCTTGGGTGCTTCTGTTAGAAGTCTGCAACGCACGGCTCCTACTGCCGTACTCGGGATAATTATATTCTTCTTCTTTCTTCATCAGTAGTATTTCTTTTCTTAAATAAAATGAGATAGACCGAGAGAGAGAGAGTTTTTTTCCCTAGACTTTGAAGGCTCCATAGAAATCTTTGGTCGAGGTGATTAGTAACTTTTACACACAAAGAGTTGTTATATGGCGCACCTGTAATCACGGAGAGCATCTGCTTTGTCCACATTTTCGTATATCCCGGTGCATTAAACTTTCTAAAAAAAGAAATATGGTAGAATAAGCTTTTCTTTGCTTGTTATGAGAATGAGTTTAAATTGTACGTGTTCAGAGTTTTTGGGATTTGTTACTGCCAAAAATATTTACTTCTGATTACGGATAAGAAGTAGAGTTTTGTCCTTACTTGTTAACTCTGTTGAGACTATTTTCTTCTAGAGGAATTTTTATTAGAAAAAAACAACTCAGATTACTACTTCGATGAAGATCTAAAACACAAAAGAAAATTCTCGTTTCCTTTATAACTGCTATTGTTGAGTTTTCTAGATTTGCTTCAGGTCCTCAACTCTTCAACAAAAGTTGTTGAAATTCTTTACGGATTTTTAATTCTTGCAAATTTAATTTGTTTAAAATTAATTAAAATTTTTATAATTAATCTATTCAGTATATAATTTATAAAACTAAATTTAATATATTACAATTTAGAAAAATGAATAAATAAATATTAAAATTAATTGTAGAAAATAACAGCCATGCTCGAGCATATTTATTAAAGGATGGTTTTTATTATAAAGAGGGAAAAATCTCTCAAAGAATTAAATATAAAAGGACAAAAGAGATAGAAAGAGAATTCTATTTCCAGAGACTATAATAAAGAGAAAGATTAGATATTGCATTTTTGTTGAGGACTTTTACATCTTTTGTAAAAGAAAGAACTGTAATTAAATGAGATATGAAAAATTCAATCGTACGAAAAGAGTAACGCCATTTCTAATATTAGTAAGCGTTAATTTTTATTATTATTTATTTAAAAATAATGACGGGGGTTTAAATATTCGATTACACACAATTGATATTCGAAAATCTCTAAAATATCTTCTCTCTTATTGCATTTTCCATTTTGCAATTCGCAAATTCTTTATATAGATTTTTCTAGAATGATGTTTGGTTGGCCATATCGCCCTGATATAAGAACACATTTCCCGAGTTTTAGTAGGGGTTAGGATATATGCTGATGGTGAAAGTTCTCGTTTCTTCGCGAGAATAAATGTTGTATTTTTTATTATCTGCTAGGAATTTTAGTTCGAGGCCAAAGAATGTATTCGGAGGAAGAGGAACAACGAAGTGTTTCGATTAAGATAGAATATAGATAAGGCACGTACCGAAAATTAGGACGAGATTTTTACTTTATATTTTTTTTGTTGTTTCTTATCAATAAATCTGAATTACTTATATTAGTCCAAAAATGCGTTTTCTTGTAGCATCTAAGAATAGTTTGACAACACGGGAGTAGTCGAAGAAATCGATATTTGAAAAATATCCGATGACCACTGGAGGGTAGGAGTAAAAATCTCTCATATATGTTTATGTGTATCATATACAAACTGCATATTTTCTTTTGGGATTATCGTCATAACGAATAGGAAGAACGAGCAAAGTTGGCATTACAACAATTCTTATCTTGTCATGACACCAATCTTCGACCTAATATTTATTGCATGATATCCGTATCGATTGTTTCCTTTTGTTCTAGTCATTTCGGGAACAATTGTGTCGACTGTAGACAAAATTAGGTAGGTGGAATCTAGATGTCGATATTCGGTCTATGATCTCATTAGCGGGTTGTCTAGGGTACCGACCGGATATTTTCTTTTTTTCCTTTTCTACCCTTAATACGGTTCTCTTGACGACAGAAATATGTGCGAGTTGTTGCACCGAGTCTTATATTAATTAATAAGTTATTCGATTGATATTAGACTCGAGAAACGGAGGTAATTACGGAATCTTTTTCTTTTTCTCAAATTAAGCAAATTTAAATGGCATTTTTCTGCAATTAAAATAGTCATTTAAACTATTCTCATTATAAGAAAGTTGGGAAATTGACTTTTGCTCTCTTCATCGGAACAAAAGCTAGCAATTACTTTATGTTTAGAACTTCTATAATATAAAATGCTGTTATCCTCTCATTATCTTCAATCTCTTTCTTCTTTTTCCTCTTCTCTTTTGGAGCAATAAAGCAAATGAAGAACACGCGATCTCTCCCATTTTCTCCGAATTAGGATCGAATTTCTCTTTCGAGAACTGCCTCTGCCGTCCAGTAATTAATCCTTCACTTAAATTAAGCGATTTGGAAAATTGTTATTTCGCAATAAAAGGAAAATTTAATTTATTTATTAATTAATCTAATTTTCTGAATTTTTCTCTTAAAAAAATATCGTCATAAATTCGTTCGTAATCTGGCAAATAAATAATGCATTTTTTTTTTCTTTCTTTGAGTCGATTTCAATTTTGCATCCCATTGTTTGTCGCTTGGATTAATTGAATACTTACCAGAGTGAAAATTCGATAAGTAATTAAAGAGAATATTCATTAAAAATTCATAAAATCAACTCGAAAATATTTCTATCTTATTCTTTTTTAATATTTAATTCCTATTAATTCTTCTTTTCTCCATCTTGCCCTCATCATTTTTATTAATTTTGTCCTCTTCACGATAAAAAGGCAGGAAGGCATTTTATAAAGGTAAAATTATGTATATTATGTACTTTTTAAAAGTATTTTGACCAAAATGTAACACTTTTAATCTTAATTTTTATTTATTTTTTTCTTCAAAGTTTAATCCTTATAAAACTGTAGGCTCGTTTTAAAGAGGAAAACTTGAATCTCGTTGACTTTAATGTTTAATATTAAGCAGGTTAAAAGGTGAAAAATCAATTAATTATATCGGATCACTGGCAAATTTTCATTTCTCGATTGAATAATATAGAAAATTCGAACTGTTGCGGTTATAAAACCCACACGTCTAATGAAAAATAAATGATATTGTTGAAGTAAAGTTTGAAAGCGAGAAAAATAACAAACGGACCGAGTGATAATTAAATTAAGCATTATTAATCTTTAGACAATTACGTTTCGAGAGAAAAGCAATAATGAAGTTCGTTATATTAATAAATAAAGAGCCGATTTCTGATAAAATAATCGATCGTTGTCTTTAATAGACAAGATTTTTAAAAGAATAAATTGTAGATTTTCTTATTATTTTTCCATTTACCAAAGTCGACTCTTTGCAAAAAGAACTTTTTCGTTTTCTATTCGTACTTAATCAGATTTATTGTCTTCCAGTCTTCTTTATACAAATGATTGAATGTAAAATTTTCGAATTATCCGTATTTACTCTGCCGTCACAATGTTTTAAACAAAGATTTTAGTTAGAACTTATTTTCATTTAATCAGAAAACGATACATTTATTAAAAACTAATGACTAAAAATCCTCTCTTTTCTTCGTCTTCTCGAGTACGCAAAATCCGACTAATGTCTTTTATTTTTACACTACTTAGAAAATACTTAAAGAACTTTAAGAAACAAAACATTTGTTTGTTTTTTAAAACTTCTTTAACATCGAGAATTGCCTCTAATGTTGAGAGTTTAAGAAACAAAAATTTTGTTTCTTAAACTCTCAACATTTTCGAGGTAAGAAACAAAAATTTTGTTTCTTACCTCGAAAATTATTTGCGGACTAATGTTTAGTCGACTCCTTCAAATACTCATTACCTTCTAATTTTTGTCTTTTACCTTCTCACAATTTTCTTTTTCCTTCTCTTTAACTTCAAACATTATTTTGCAAAACTCTGAATAATTCAAAATACTGTAAATATTTTCAAAAGGATTTGTTTGTAGCTGAATTTTATATTTAACTGGCGTTAAAGTTAAAGAAAGATCGTTGCAACAATGTGACTTTTTCTTATCCTAATATCGATTCTCCGCTTTTTTTTCCACTTTGGCAAACAATCGACTCTATTTACTATCCAAGGTGGGATCTATGGTTTTTGCCAAAATACAAATACAGAATTTTCTGATCGGTGATTTTTATTTTAAACTTCAATTTAACTCTATATCAATTATATAGATAAATAAAAACGAATCTCGGACCCGCATTTTACAATCGACGGATGATATATATAGATTTTCCTTTAATTTAATTGACAATTATCGTTTAAGCGAATTATCTTTTGTATTAAAAACTTCGAAATAACGCTAATGATTTTGTCACGTCGTATTATGTATAATTAATTAATTATTTTTTCTATCGTAAAATTGGAATTTTCTCTCAAAATTAGGATAAACGAATTTCTTATAATCTTTTATCATTTTACACTCAACTCGACGAGCAATTTTTTTTTCTTAATTATCATTAAAAATACAGTAGAGCGTCGTTTATTCGAATCAATTGGGGACTGGGGTTGTTCGGATANCGTTTTAAAATAAGTACGAAATTTTTTGTTTAAATTTGTTTTTGAAATCTCTGGGCGTAAGAAATTTTTATCGGTTGTAGGCTATATTAATAAAATAAAAGAGAACAAACAAGAAAAAATGTTCGGCAAGAACTCTTTCACGTTGACAAAAGCAGAAGTGCGGGAGCATTGCTCTCGTGTCAATATGAAGGGCGATTCTATCTCGTTAGCGAGCTTCTTTATGTTGCTTCTGTCTTTGATGTTCAGACACGTATAACTGATTGAATGCAGCTTCTGTCGATACATTGTTAACTCTGATATTTAAAATGTAAACTGTTGTACCCTTACTCTTATACGTACGGTCTTTAATGGTCTTTCACATCAAAAATATATAAATTTTGTTTTTTCGTTTACTCTAATTTATATCGATTAAATAAGAAAATTGTAATCTTATCTTCCAAACTGCTTCTACGAGTTTGTAAATTTTATAATATCTAAATTTAATTTAAGCATCCGGCAAGCTAGAGATAGTTACGTGTTTACATTATAGGAGGATATTACCCACTACGGCTTCGTTGTATTTTTATTATTATTATTACTTTTTTTTTTTTTGTTTTTTCTGTGAAGATATATTTTGAAAAAGAATGTATAGAGCCATATTGTAAGAGATTATTAATGTTAAAGAGAGCTTACGTTGTAAAATTTCCTTCCAATTAAGAAGTGATTTTATCTAAGAATCGAGAATAGAACAGACGTTTTTGTTCGGTTGCTTCTCTACTAATTAGAACTGAAAATTCTCATATAGGAACTTGCTTATTAATTAATTCACTTTAATTAAAACGCCCACTATTAACTCCTTTCGGTTAATCTCAGGATTTGCATAGAGTTGGTTAATAAGATTGCATTCCTCGCAGCTAGTTGAGTTTTCTTAACTTCATTAACTGGTCACAGCTTCGTTGCTTATAATTATAAGTCCGACAATCTTTTCTCTTTATTTTACCATCTGGATTATATCCTCTACAGAATAGAACGTGATACAATAGAAAAAATAACAAACTTTTCGCACGAGGAATAGAAATTTTTTTCCTATTTTCTTATAAACTGATTACGAATTATCCTCTTATGTCAAGGAAAACAGAAAAATTTTTAAATTAATAATAATAATAATAATAATAATGAAAAAATAAGCGATAAGCGATCAGTTTTCTTTTTGGCATTTGATATCAATGGTCTTCATCAGCTTCCTTTGTTATTGTTGTTATAATAGAGATAAACGTCGTCAAATTAACAAGATTTAATTCCTTTAAAATTAATGTTGAAAAGTTGCTTTTGATGAACTCCGAGAGAAAGGATGCCCCCGGTTAATGTCTTGTTTTCGAATATAATCAGTAATAACGTGACAATTGGAGGGAATTTAATATGTGAAATTTCTCGACCAGAAAGAGAAGACTGGAAATTAAACAATGTTATAAATCCTCGTGTACAAGACTTATTTTTATATATTTGTTTAATTATGAAATGAGTGAAATTTAAATGAAATTTTTCTTTTATCGGTAATACTTATTTTCTACTTCTTTAAAGCCTTCTTTTAATAAAAAATTACATTTTAATTTTAAATTCCTCCATTAAGAAAATGGTGTAAATATCTAATTAATTTTCAAGTTCCATTTTAATCTTTTCTATTCATACAGGTTTTTCAGCATTGAATATGAAATGAAGTATTGAATTAGCAATATTATAACTGGAATAAAGAATCGAATTAATAGAAAGAAAGCTTTAAAATAGTTTCGGAATAATTATTGTGCTGAATCCTTAATTTTCTTAATACAATATCCATAAATTATACATGGCGCATACTTCACTGACTTAGCAATAAGCGGTATCCTTTGATAAGTGTATTAAAATACTACAACATAGTATAAATTTTCTGGAAGAAAATCTTCGTTTGTATTCTATTAGCGAATAAGACTTATTAAATTTAAATATCTTTCGTTTCGTCGACTGGTTGGAAGCAAAGAGCAACAATAGACTCGACTGTCAGTTGCAGCTTGTTGTAATGGATCGAAGAGAGATAATTTGACCAATCGAATTTTAATTTCAAATGAATATTAACGTAAATCCGTATCTCTATCGCGAGTATTTCTACTTTTCGCGTCTAATTAATCAGTAGAATGAATACGTATTGCCTCAAGAGGGTCTTTCAAGAAAAATGAACACGTTGCAAAATCCTTCTACCTAATAAAAGTACGCCTCGGACTTCGACTATGTTTTACATTTAAAGCAACAATACAGGTTCTTGAGCTCTTGCAAGCATATATAAATATGAATTTTGTATTAATTTTGCAGAATAGTAATTATAAATGTACTAAAAATGGATTATAATAGAATATATATAAGTTACTACACGATGTTTAATTGATTGATCTCGTATTCGTAGATTTCCATAGATTCGTGTAGGGAGGAAGAATACTTTCTACATTAAAATTAAAACATAAAGAATTAGATTCTTAACTTTATATTAGGCTGCAATTTAAAAAAAAATTGTAGATCTATAAATTACTACTGTCTGTCTTTCCGTAATTTCGAGAACGGAGTTTGATAGATGAAAGACGAGGCCAGATATGGAAATCTTAGCTGCAGAGACCCCGATTAATAATATACAATCTTCCGATACGGACCGCAAGCTGCGTTATTTCAATTCAAAAATTATTCCCTAAAATATGTTAGATAGATGACCGACACGACTATTGTTGAAGGAAAAGTATGATTTACAGGGGCAAGCCACTACTAATCTAAGGTTGAGAGCATATATTTTAAATAAAATAAATTAAAAATTGCAGCCCAGCATTGTTACCTTGTGACAATAAATAATTGTTTGTGTATAAAATATAATATTAAAATATTAACCGATTTTACACATTGTGATATATTTTTTGTCGAAATTAAATACAAAAAGAAATGTTATACTGTTTTTAAAAACGAACGAAAGACTTTAAAATAATCTTAGAATATATTTTTTGTTAATTAGCAGCGCCGAATCCCTTTTTAATAATTTTCTTAATAAAAAACTGCACTTTGTGAGATTATCTGAAAAATTTCATTGTGAAGAGAGTTTAAAAGATTACCAATGATACAGATATATTCGAAATGCTCCAATTGTTTTATTTATTCTTTTAAAATTACATCGTGTATTTTCTTCTTAAATTATTTAACATTTAACTAAATTATTCCCTTTTATTTCAGGTTTCCACCGGATAGTATTAAATCAGGAAAAGAGTTTTCTTGATTTGTATCTTAAATATGTTCTTTTTTTTTTGTAATTCTTTACAGTATCGAAATTTATTAAAGTAATATTTTTAAGCTTTCATTTTATAATTTTAGTTACATTTTTAATTATATCTTTTTGACCATCCTTCTTTCTACATTCTTATAATTTAAATTTATCATCTATCTTTGTTGTGGTTATGTTAATCTTCCTCGTCCTATTCTATATGTAGACCTTCTAAAAATGGGAATAATTTAACCAAAGTTTAGTTATTTTGCTTTAACTAGTTGCTTTTTTAAACAGAATTTTATGCAAATTTTTAGGTATTTTCAATGAAAAAATTAGATGTATTTTACTAAACAGAATATTCTCGTAACATATTTGAGAAATAAGAAACGAAAGTTGAACATATATATATATTTAATGTTACGCTTAATATACAAATTATAACTTTACGTGTGAATTTAAATTCGAATAAATGAAAGTATTATTTTAATAATTCTTCTCAATTTTCCAAATATTGTTTAAACAACTGATAGTTTCTGATACGTTCTTAATCCTTGCAGTTTGGATTGATCCATACGAATAATCCTGTAATACAAGAAAGGAAATTATATTATTTTCTATTATTTGTGCTTACAAAATCTCATAAAATAGTTTGAATTCTTAATACTAATGTTATTAAAATAATATAAAAAGTAGTACTTGTATTGAAAATACATTAGTAATTAAGAGATCCATGTGTTTAGGAGTTCATAGAGTTCATTCCGCTAACACCATAAGAAACTAAAGTCAAATTTACCTTGTCCAAATATACAAAACTGCCAAAAGTCTTTCTTTTATTGGAACAGATTTACTAAAAAAGCAATTGTTATTAAATATTTGTAAATACAGATATTTTGAAGGCTTCATAATTGGTCCTTTCACCACGGGACACGCATTGTGACGAATTACCAAGACTCCAAACTTGTTTGTTTTCTAGTGCATATTTTTTGTTTGTATACTAAAGAATATTTGCTTTAGTGAATCCCATTCCTGTTTATGTTGTTAGGTAAGTAGTACTTATGTTTATGATCACTGTTAATCGTTTTTTTTTTATATTCATTCGCTTAAAAATATTTGCTCGGATAGGTGGATTGTTTATCCTTATCAAATGTTATGTTGAATTAATTATGTGTAGCTTATTCGAATAAAATAATATTAAATTTTAAGTTAACTATAAAAGTTTTTACATTAAAAAAATCCAGCAATAAGCTGCGTAAATTTATGGCAAAAAGTTAAAATTGTGTGTGGTGACATCTGTTAAAAAGTTTTTTAAAATAAAATTTCCTATGTTATTAATGATTATAAAATGGAAAAAAAACTTAATTTTGAGGGTAGTGATGAGTGGTATAAAAAAATTGTAAATGCTAATAACGAGTAAAATCTTTATCAAGTCCGACCTCACTGGAGATACGACTGGAGAATCCTTTCTGTCTTCCCACTCCCTCGACTTTTAACCATAAAAATTTAATATCATCAATACCCCTAATACACAAACTTACTTGCAAAATTTCAGAAATTTTCGACAAAAGGCACAAGAGTTATTAAGCTTCAAATCGTGCCCTCACACACGTTAACATATGTACAAATAGAAAAAAAACTAGTTGTTTTTGCATTTCTCGACGTTTTAAAGCTTCCTCCGAGTCCAAAAATGTAAAAATCATGAGGAGGAATCATTTTTTGACCGATAGCCATCCTTTGTTATATATAAAAGGCGGAAAAATAAAATTCGATTAGAGGAAAGAATTTTTTGACAGATCACTAAAAGTTTTATTTTCAATTCCGTGGCCATCGTCGTTAGAAATTTATCGAATCCAAAAGTGTATTAATAATTTCAATTTGTTTACTCGAATTTCGCATAAACTCAAGACAAATCAAGACAAATTTTAATAATGGACTGTGATATAAAATAAACATCGTGTCCTTTCGAACTCGTTCGTAATATAAATGATTTATCAGCGATGCTATAATGTATTTAAAGCCTTCATTTGTTAATTAAAAAAAATATATATACTCTCATATATCATTCCATACGTTATGATGACATTTAGAAAATATACAATTTATAAAATGTAAATATTGTTTGTTATAAGATGCTTGGAACATGTGAAATGTAACACAAATCTAAATGTATCCAAAGTGTACTTGCAACAGACAAATGTTTACATTAAGACTACGAATTGACAAAGAGCGCTTATGTAATACAGTCTACAAACCATGTGAAATGTAAAAGTGGTATGTTTACATTATTTTTTCTTTCTTTCTTTTTTTATATCAGGCTTCAAAATGTAGGAGTTGTTGAATAGCTTCGGATTCTGAGATTTTGTGGGAGTTTGATGAATGGCATTGTGACCAATCAACCGCATTCTTTATCATTTTATAGAAATAATATCGCTAAATTCCGGATAGAATATAAAATAAATTCGATATTTTATGACAATTTTCCTGGTTTATTACAAACTTTGTGATATATAAATAGGGATAAAATTAGATTATTGCTATTGTCTACCCCTTTATATTTAGGTCTATTAAACTGGTCTATTTTTATAATTTAATACAATAATATACGATTGTGACATTATCATTTGGTCAGATTGAGGTCTTGGCAGTTTGCATGCACAGTTTTTAGCCATACAAATGTTTTTAACTGGTGTTGTATTTAGGTGTGTGTTTTTTTGTGGTTAGAAGATAATTCATCATGGGTTCCTTTCGAAAAGAGTTAGAAAAATATTATGTCGGAAGCGGTTTTCACGGTTGAGTATGGCTACAAAATTGGTCAGAAACACCGACCTAATAGGCAATTTGGGGCGACGGTATAGCGAAAATAATGCGGGGTAACTCGGGAGTGACGATTAAATCAATTTGCCAGCGAAACTCGGACGGTTGCCTTGGTAACTCTTCGTGCCAACATTTACATCCGAGTCGAACACGGAACGTATCGCCGAACTAATCTCATTGATTAATTGACTGACATGTCCCGTCATTAGAACCGGCCCGGGGAAGAGGCGAAAGCGCGTGCGGTTTAAAACTCCTCCTTTGGCCGTCATTAGGCATCCCCCCGCGATCGATGGTACGAGAATATTCTTAAATTCTGGAACGATGCCAGGTGCACGCCTCGACCGAAAAAGAAAGAGGCCGCCGGTGACGTCAGACAACAAACTCCGGTATCTTTAGTCGTTCACGCGTCATTTACAAAGTGACGAGTCGGGTTTCGGTCCGTTTAACCGGTACGAGAGAGAGATTTTCTCTCTCTCGCCTCATTTCCGGCATTTGCCCGGAACCAAACCCGTACCACTTTAATAGCCGCTAATGCGTGGGATGGAGAGACGAGCGACACCCATGCAAAACGCCGAGAACCGAAGGAATTCATATTACCACGCCACCGAGGCATTAGAGGAAATTAATTTCGGTGCCGTCACTCACTTCATACGACACGCGGACAGCTCGGATATTAATACTTTACAGTTAGACAGTCCACCGAGAAACAAAGACGTGGCGAGAGAAAACAACTCTCGCAAACTTGCGCCGCTCCTCCGACGTTTTCGATTCTGTTCGGTTTTAATGCCCATTTTTCCAAAGCGCAAAACATTTCTTCCGTTTATTGTGTGGGGATTAGGAAAGGAATTAAATTCCGCGCCGCAATAAGCGAGACTGAATGGCATCCGCGGATTAGGGAGAGATGATAAGCTTTATCCGCGTACGCGTAAGACCCGCGAACAATGGAACAGTTGCCACGTTTCAATGCAGTTACTAGACGATCTCTCCATTGACGGTGGCTTTTGTAGAGAGAGAGAGAGAGATGGAAGTATGAATGCCGATCCTAGACAATGTCCGGCCGACGTCGCATAATTAGTTGGCCGGTTTGTATTTCCTTCCGGCACGAGAGAAACCCTTTTGCAGTTCTTAATGAGCGGGATAAAGCCTCCTCCTCATCCTCCTGTAGATCAACTTTGCCTGCGGTGCCAAAGCGAGATGCCGGTAAAAGCTATTTATCCACCGGAGGGATAATTACAATGTTAGTTGTCACTAACACATTCCGGTAGTAAATTTATAACGACGACTTTTGCCGTAATTAAACACTCTAATATAAGTTCTAATTTGAAACGCTGGTCTTATACGATTAGCCTTCTCTCTAATTTTCCACTCATTTCCAGATACTTTAAGATCTCTTTGTCAAATCCTTTCCTAATTGCCCCCGTTTCTCTTTAAATGCCGTCACTTTTGACGTCTCTCCAACTTTATAACGAATTAGCAATTTTTCTTTCTTCCTCTTCTTCTACAGAGAAGAATTATTCCGTCTTAGACAGGTTAATTCATTTTCGGGCGTTTATCTTCCTTCCTCCTCAGTAAACTGTGGCACGTGGCAAATCTGAAGAATAACGAAAGTTAATTCCTTCCTTTGCAGCTAATAATCCATTTCATCGATTATTATTTAATGGACGAGTAGGAAGGAGGATTAGTCGCATTATCTACCATCGATGGGGTATTTAACTCTATTAACCGAAAGTTTTCTTGCCTGCTAAATGTAATTAGAGAAAAACATGTTAATAATTAGTTTCTCCGCGATCGACGAGTGAAAATAGTAATTAAATTCGGGTTTTCTCTTTAGATCTTTGCCGAAAATGAAAGATGAATAATTTTTTCTTCAGCTTTAAATATCCTTAATGAAGTAGAAAGTGGCAAATTTGAAGTTCAGTAAGAACAATTCGCAGTTTTCTAACTTGTTGGAAACTTGAAAAATCGATTTCTCCCCCTCCCAACCATCGTGTGGGATCTGTAACGGCATCATATTTTATTAAAGAACAGTTGGGTAGTTTACGAGTGTCGGATAAGGAAAACTGGAATCGTATAAGTCCACTATAGCAATACGTTAGGCGAGAGTACAGGTCGGTAAAGAATGTGTATATGGGGAGGAACAACTTATCCAAAAAAGCTATTTTGTTTTGGTGTGGCACCGACCAGTGGCATTAGGAATATTTCTCGCCGCTCTGTTATGAATTGCACTTCTTTTTTTTTTTATCGCTCTCCGCTTTTGTCTGGAGTGTTCTTTTGTAGAACTGGATTAACTTGGCTGCGGGCGATAATCGATCAACGTATATCGACGCGTTATAGCTACAATGTGGGATATCTTACGACTTTTTTTGCTATACCCCGACGATCCTATTAAATTAATAAAAAAAGAACTGTAGTTTTTTTTTATATCGTATACATTTATATATATATACCGACTGATATAGCCTATAAAATTACTTACGCGA